GAATTTTCTCACAGACAAACAATAAAGACAGAATAATAATAAAAAAAGGTTATAATTAAAGTTTAAATGTTTGATAATAATGAAATATATTAATTATTAATGTATTACAAAGAAAATATCTAAATAGTTGTAACTCTATAATCTAAATACTTTAAGTTCATAAATATTTTTAAAGACTAATATATCTAAAATGAAACGACAATCAAGTACAATCTTGTATTTGTAAAACTATTACAGTACTTTCTTAATTCTTAGATTTGAACATCTTGCATATCAGGGGCTCAGTTTAAAAAATTTTAAATGATGAAAGGAATAGATCTTCCTTGATTATAAAAATAACTACAAGAAAAAAAACAAATATTTTTCATTTTGAAAATTAGTGATAATTTTCCTAATGTAGAACCCTTATTGTGTGTGTATTATTTATAACAATAATACACACACATACATATAAATATAAGTTACACAATCCAAATTATAACGTGATTTTAATCAACTATGCTGTATGTGATTACAGCATAAACCGATGCTACTGTAGATTAAGAATATTTTTTTAATTAAAAAATAATACAATAACTCTAATGTTTAATTAAAGAAGAAATTTATTAAATAATTTTAATCTGAATTTAAAATAATAGGCATCAAAAAAATGATAAAATATTAAATTTTTGGGATTAATCAATGAAATTGAGGGACAATCATAAAAAATTTATTTTCCTAAACATTAATTATATAATATATAGCCCTTTAATGAGTTACTTGTAAATTATTAAAATTGAGAAAATAATAAATTTTAATTAAATTCTTCTTTACTTAGTACTCTCGAATATAAGGGATTTTATTTAAGAACTATTAAATATTATATCTTGTAAATTTTAATCTTTAAAAGTTTCGAAACCCACATAAATAAAATATATGTTGTGAAATGTTACAAAACGTGTAAAAAAAAAAGAATAATGTTAGTTTAAATAATTCAAATTTAAATAATTAATTCTAGACATAGCTATAGTTCTTCAAATAAAAAATAAATAAATGATTAATAATAATAATATGGTTAAAAAATTAAACATAAGTATTAGGGTGTTCCTTATTTTTAAAATTTTGAAAATTCTTCTGGTTCACCCGCCAAATTTGTGTGTATACATATAAAAGTGGCTACAAAAAATTTCAGGTCAATCAGATAAGTTTAACCCGTGCCGACTTGGGGTTGAAAATTGGCCAAAAAGGATAATTTTGTTGCTTTTAGCAACTAACTCGTAAATTAGCACTCTCACGAAAAAAATTATAGAAATTAAATTATAAACCTAATTGTTTTTGTATAAATCAAATTTTTACAGTTTTTCTTCTAAATCCGTTAGTTTTACAGAAAAATATCAAAATTAGTAATGGGAAATGTCGAATAGTAACTATTCGAATTATTCGATAGCCATTCAAAAAATATACAAATAGTAAAAATATTCCATAGTTTATGCTAAAAATATACTATTCGGTTGTATAAACACAATTCGAATAGTTATTCAATAGTTTAAAATATTGGAAAATGTCCATCACTAATTTTCACTATTATTAATTGTATAATAATTTATTTTAAGAATTCGTTAATTATCTTTTTATTATAATTAAGTGTACTTAATAAACATTTTAGGTAGAACTAATCGAATATTTTTTAAAACATTCGGTAGTCAGTTCGAATAGTTTTAAAAATTATTCGATAGTTTAAAATATTCAAAAATGCCCATCACTAATCAAAATACGTAATATTTCATAAAATTGTCGTAATTGGCATATTTACGAATATTTCATCATATTTGAAGAACTATATGTGATACAACCCAATATTTCACACATTTGTTTAAAATTAAATTTTACATAATAAAAGTAATAAGTAAAAATTTCATTGAACCGATTGTTTTATTGCTATAGCTGAGATAGCTCGATCATATTACGATATAAATAATCATCTCTAAAATATCCGATTTGCAACATTTCCGGAGAAAACGGGAAAATATTTCGAAAATGTTCTAGTGCAAAGCAACATTCGACGTCATCCATTCCACAGGTCGTATTAGAAACATCACTGTTATTCCAATGTTTAAAGTTTTTAAACATGAGAATATCATGATGTTATCTGTAGTAGTTTTGTTTCAAAACATCGCGTAAAATCAGCTCATAGATGTGCTGGCGTTGGTAAAAACAATAAATCTTTCTCTAATTTTTGCTCTAGTATTTTTTAGAGCAAAAAAGGACACCAGCTTTTAAAACGTCTCATATTAGATGCGGTATTATCACAACATAGATCTTGGACTAAATTTAATAAACCCCAATCGTCTAACGCACAATAAACAGCATTAGCTTGTTCATATCCCATCGACTTTTTCAGTTTCGGTATACTAATTAATAATCTAGATTTTCACTAGTTATCACAATTGTTAACCAATACCCGATACTCTTACATTTAAAGTTGATATAATTTTTCCATTCCAATGCACAGTGACATATATAGAAAGACAACTTTAAATTATTTTTATTAAAATAGCCCATTCAATTGACTAGCATCACGGCATCTATGTACTGAAGGCTTATTTATAATAAGAGAATCGACTTTATGACATAAAACTTCAACTGTTGCTTGAATAATATAAACTGCGTCTCGTGCACTTATTTTACACCAATCTGACGCAACTACGAGTTTCGGTACTATGAAATTTGTTTGCCCCCTTTTATTCTATTTTGCTAAAACATTAAAAGGTTTTTCGTTTCCATATTTTATGGATAAAGAAGAACTTATAATTATATCATTTGATAAATAAAGTATACTTTGAGTAGAGTATACCTTATTTATCATATACCAGATGATAACTAACAGAAACAGCAATAAAACTCGTATATATATATATATTATATAACAAATTTTGTTCAAATTGTTTCAAAAAATCTTTCACCGAACGAAATTTAATTATGTTCAGAGAAGCTATTTACTTAGTATTATTTCAGTCGCAATATAATGTTCTTAATTAAAGATAAAACGACGAAATCATGATAAAAATATCAATTACACATTATACTTACAAATACATATTTAAATAAATATTAATAAAACTAAAAGATTTACACTTAAAACGTTTTAGATAGGTACTCTTATACTATTTGTGTAAGTCGTTACACAAAATAGAGTGACACAGAAATTAATCAATGGGTTCTAATGATTACTCAATTTGCTTGTTTTGGTTTCAAATGATTTCGTTAACGTTGATGCTTATGAATATATATTTTATATATATATATATTTTTTTAATTTTGAGTTTTGTCAACTAAAATTCAATGTACTACGCCTTTATTATAATACATTCGATATGAGGTTTGGTATTCAGAGCCTTTTACGCATAAATGAATATAAATTTTTATGCGCGAAAGCACTGTAGGCGCATTCTTCTACAAAGATCGAAAACTGGATGAGATATAAATTTTTTTTTGCATCATAATACTTTCAAACTACACTCCACACATTAAAAAATAATAAATCAAAAGCACTCAAACACAATTTAGATAGGCGTTATTATAGAAAACTGATTTTATTAGAAGACTGAATTTATTTCAATAAATTTAAGTAGACAATATTTATGGATATTTTTATTTTTTTGTTCTTTAAAAACTATAAGCTAAACTATCTTATTAACCCGCGATTATTCATTTTTTTATTAAGATTTTTTTAATCCTTCCTTCTACATCGGCATTTCAGAACTTCTATCATAATCCATTCAATTAAATTGCATAGTCTTTCTTTCTAAACTCTTGTATACAGAAACACATATACATAAATTATAATAAAAAATTCCTTGCCCGCACTCGCCGCTAGTCATCTAGTTGAACTTTGTAAGTGGTTTCTGTTGTTTGACGTGGTTGTATTAGATGAAAAACCAAGACTACTTATATGTACTCAAAAAATTTATTTCACACTTTTGGTCTCAAGAGATAAAAGGTAATTTATGAAATGAATTGCATATATCATAATTCAGTGACAATACAACATAAAGTATTATTTTAGCTATGGAAACTTTCATATTATGAACAAGGAAAAACGATTAAAAATAATTGGCGGGTGTGCCATTAAATGCATGGACAAATATTAAATAAAGACGGTAAGAAGAATTTTAAAGATAATCTTTTCTGAATCCTAACTACATATACAGGCGTTCAGTAAGTAAGGAAACAGGTCAGTTGTTACAAACGACAAAAAACGAGAATGATAGAAACCCGTTTCCTTACTTATTGAACATTCTATATATGTAATTGACTAATATGACTATTGAATGATTTCTTAATAATAACAAGAATCCAAAAATATGGATTTTCAAAAAATCTCTAGAGCATGATTTAATTACGTACGTACAAAAGTAAAATTAATTATTAATTAATATAGATAAATTGATCAGTTTGCAGACTGGGTCAAATTTTGGATGAGGAATGGATGAGATTACCCCGGTGGCACTAAAATATGAAGCAATATAGTGATCGGTTTATTATAAACCGCTCAATTACTAGCAAAATAAATACAATATTGGAAAAATAATTTTTTATTTCTTTTAGTTACATATAATTCTTGATTTATCATCTAATAATTACTTCTTAGAATTATCCCTTATAACTTAAAGAAGTGTAAACTTAATTTTTTTTAACGACAACATACATATATAATTAGTTTATAAATAAAAAATAATCTAATTAAGAAAATGACTGGTCGATAACAACTTTTAGACCAGTACTTTGGAAGTTATTTTCATTTTTATACCTAGGCGGGACGAACAGTACGGCCGATAACCAATCAACCTATATAATATTATAGAATTAGAGACTCTTTTTTTGCTCATTTGAATTTAAAAAAAAAATAGAGAACATTTTTTTGATGAACAAAATAAAAAGATTATTGGAAGAGGTAGAATTAAGTACCCTGGGCGGCACAATTCCTAAATACTGTCCTATCTCAAATATAAACAACATACTTATGAGTAGTGCAAACACTGTCGCTGTTCGTAGTGTTATATGAAGCGGTAGTCGCACTTCCAGTGGATGGACTTCTGGGTAACGTTCTGGGTGTGCTTGGGTTGGTCGGACCACTATTGACGTTATGATGCTGTCGGCCATAGTGATGAACCATGGCAGCAGTGGAGGATGACGTTGGTGGAAACTTAAACACTGTGGACGACGGAGTGATCGGACTACGACGAGGTGCGTCTGTCGGTGTTGTCACGCTCAACGATGGACTACGAGGTGGAGTATAGTACGATGTAGACGAAGATCCACATGGCGTCTTATGCGTGTCTGGGAACGAGTTGACGTGTCCGAAATCTCGGCGGACAGCTGACCGCGGTTTACTGGCTACAGTTTTTGCACTTGACGTCCGACGACAAGGGTGATGTTTTGCTGTAGTAGAAGCTCTCTGATCATCTGTTGCTGATGTTATAGTCGTTGAAGCAGAAGATTTAGATCGAGGCGAGCATAACGCAAAATATGGTTGAGATCTTTCGGAAAACGACGTTTCGGTAGAACCAAGTTCGCTAGTCGAATCAGAACTACGAAATGTTCTCATAGAACTACTATACGATGACATTACTCAAAAATAATAAGTCACAAAAAATGTTCAAAATAATATTTTGAATAACGACCCGGCAACAGGTGTCGCCGGTGTCGTCAAAATGTTTCTATCGGTGTACCCAGCGATTGTCAATGAGAAATAAGGATAAATATCGTTCAATAATTACACATTCGAAACGTTATAATTTTAAGCCTAAAATGATTTTGAAAAATTCATTTTGTTTGAGAGTAATAATAACACGTGCACGTTTTTAATTTGTATGACAAGCGGCGTTGCTCCAAGCGCGTTCGTTACGGGTGTGATCGTCCAACTAACTGGTCGCTAATCAGCATGAGCCTTCGTAAACGACATCGGATGGCAAAGATGATCACTTGTGTGCGCAACCACAGCAAGTTAAGCTTTTATAAGACTTTGAACGCCATCTAGGTATTTACTAGTTATTAAAATAATAACGTATTTTTATGTTTAACTCATTTTATAGTTACAGAATGCAAATTATTTAGTAAAAACATTTTTTTAATTTACAAATTACGTATTATTATATAAAAATATTAATCAACAGGTTTATATTTCCGTAACATTAATATTATTATTACAAAAGGATTTTAAGGAGGTTGTAGTCATCTAAAAATTACTTTTAGTAAAATAATTATATATACAAATTAACGTATTTAAATATATCTATATATTTTTATTATATAATAAAAATAATATTAAATGAATATAATTTTATAATAAAATCCAGGAATCAATTTCAAGGATCATAGAATAGTGTCATATATTACAACAATAATTTGTATGTACTGTGTAGAGCCTATTTAAACAAACGATTTTTTTTTTTTTATTAGTACCTAGGATTTAAGAATAGTTTAATTCGACCCTAAATATAATAGTACATATTAATTAGCTAATTATTTGCACGCCAAAATATCATTATATTATTTTAGAAATTTAATGTCTTTAGAAGATGCGTTCTGAAAATTTGAAAATTAGTTTAAATGTAAATTTAATTTTAGAATACATTCAAATTTGGCGTGAACTCGTGCAAAGTTGGTTTATTGAGAGGAGATTAGAGACAGATAATCGAATCTTCGTTTATTTTTATTTATATAAGTAAATTTAATAGTGTACTTTTCCAAAATAAATTGGGTTTTATTATGAGAAAGACACTAGACAACTTTTGACTTTTTTCAAGAAAAAAATCAAAAATCATTTAAGAAAATTATGATTAATTTTACTTTTGATTTACCGATACCACTGCCATTTGCGTAAATAGTTGAGCTTTTACTTATTTATATTTGTGTTTTGCATCTCTCGAAAAATTCATAAACTAACTAGTTTCCTCATGTAAAACTCTAATTAAAAATTTGCAATAGGATTAATTAGTAGTAGCATATTCATGCATAACTAATATTGCTCAGTAATAACCTGATATTGTTAATACAAATTAAAAAAGTTCTATTAGTACCTGGGCACAGCTTCCAAGAAATTTTCATCATAACTTTTTTAATTCTATTCCGTTGTAAAATTATTTAAACTAAAAAAATTTAAAATTCTTGTTTTATATTTAAAATTAAAATATTTAAAAACATTCCAGAATGCTAACTTTTAGCTTCGATGCAAAGCTGAGCTAGTTTTACTATGATGTGTTTTTTTTGTTTTTTTATTTATTTATTTTTTATGTGTCTGTTACCACTTATTCACTTCTCTCTCCGAACCGATTTTTTTCAACGATACGTCAAAAGATCACAAATCGTATCTAATCGAAGACATTACCCTCAAAAATTGAAAAAAATTTTACTCGTTCCTCGTAAATGCGGGAAATCTCTAAAAAAAATTACAAATTTAAAAATTTCCAATTTTTGACATTTATTCAATTTTTTTTTACTTAAAATTGCCATAACTTTTTAAACATGACAAAATCAATATAATTTTTTTAGATAGATACATGAGGTATTTACCTATCATTTGATATATTTCTTTTATAAATTTAACCCTTTACTTGCTCCAAATGGGGAATCAAAATGACAACTTTTTCAACTTAACTTTTGAAAGTGTTCCGGAAATTCTGACACTTTTATATATATCTTAAATTAAAGCTTGTTTTATACTTTATTCTGTAAAAAAAAAAATTCAGACTTTATTTTGTCTTCACGCTAAAAACAAACATCAAAGTTAATAAAAAAAAAATACGATATTTGTAAAAAAAAATTTTTTTTATATTTTTAACTTTATAATGCTATAACATTTTGAACAATGAATGGATCAATATAATTTTTTTTAAATAAAACCATTTCCCTTTATATATTTTTATATTATATGTATATTACACTTATAAATCATAAAACTTATAATCAGAATATAAATAAGGAAATAGGAGATCATGTAGCTTTTGGATAATCCACCAATTTTTTTTTAATTAAACACTATCTACAGATAAAATTAACTAATCGAATGTACAATAAAATTAAAAGAGTTAAGTACTCGCCGATTTTTTCAATATATATTACATAAAATTTGGTATGATTGGTTTTAAAGTATTACTTACGGCGATAAATATTTACAAACAGGAAACATTTCATCGTTAGAACGATTATTTAACTGTGTTCTATAAAATTTTGATTTTTTACAGTCTGATCACACAGATTGACAATTCCAATCAAATTTATTGGAATACAATTTATGTTACTTCCATTACCACGATCAAACATTACATCAACATTTAACATTAATGTATTTACTACGAATATTCCATACAATTTACACGGTTTATTTTTTATTTATACATATAATTTATTCTTCCAAGATAAATAAGAAATATCGAAGCTCCTTGGTAAACTGCTGTAGTAATCACGTTTTGCATTTTTATACGGCGCAGCCCCTCTACCGCTGCCACTACACGGACAAGTCTACGATGATGTGTGAGTGAAACAGACAAACTATTTTATGGTGGGACTTGCGGGTGCGACAGAGATCATCTAGATTAACACCGCTTTATACTCGTGTTGTTTACGGCTTGTCTGAAGTGCGTTTGTACCTAATTTTTTGACATTAACCAAACACGTACAGGTACGCGACTATTATTATTGTCATCTAATTTAGGCAATAGCCGTGCTGCTTGTGGAAGAAGTAGTGGCATTTATAGGGTTAGTTCATCAGCGGGAAGCATCCATTTTATCATCGACGAACTTCTTCATGTTTCATAATGAGTGATTATTCAGCGGTGAATCCGCCAACGGATAGTAAAGTTCAGAGTCAAGCTTTTGCCGCGGCATTACAACGCGCTAAAGAGGTATGTTATAATTCTCAAAAGGTAATCTTAAATTTAGGTTCAAATCATTTTGCTTGATTTTCTCTCCGTTGGCTGGCGGCTAAATATGGTCTCGTATGTTAACGGCCAAATAATTCAGTTAACACGAGGGATTACAACATGGTTATAATCAATTCTTAGATTTGTTTCTCTAAATATTTTATCCTCAGATCTTTATTGACGACGTTTTTCTCAAAAAAACGCTTTAGAACACCTGTCGCAACGTGTAGTATTGACGTGTTAAACAAATACTTCTCTATTGGTTAAATAAAAATATCGCTTGTTAAACGATATTCTTAAGAATCATTTTTTTACTTAAAATTATATAATATAAGGTACTTATAATAAAAAAAAAATTAAAAACAATAATTATTTAATTCTTAAATCAATACTTTTTATTATTATACCTCTTAGACTAGTTTTAAATTCTCCGAAAATGCTCTTTTTATAATAATTGTATTGTAATTTTGTTAATTTAAACCATATCAAAGCTTAAATTGTGTTAGTTGTGTTAATGAGATTATAATAGTTTCTTGATAGCCAATTTCCCTTATTGCCGAGGCTTTAATAATAAATTAAAAATAAAAGCTAAATGGTTTCATCAATTTATAGAGCTATTATAAATTAAAACATTAAATTTTCCTCTTATCATAAATTATTAAAAAATGCAAATCAAAATAATAGATTTAAACTTTTGATAAAAAAAAACTTGAAAATAATTAAATAGAATACATTATGTTGTTTAATAATATAACTTCAATAAAATTTGTTCTATTCTTAAATAATAACGTCTTGGAATACCTTGCTACTCAGTATTTACAGGGGTTTCTTAGATATTTGACAAGTCTCTTAATGAAGGATTGATTCTCTCATAAAATTAAAAATCGCTAGAAAACCCTTCCTCCTTATGATAAATTCTTATAGGTTATTTTTTTGTGGAGGAACTGAAAATTTATTCAATTTTAATATGAATCATCCAGACACTGATTAAAAGTTTAAGTACAAGTATATCTAAATAAAATATAAAGAATAATTAACTTGGTTTTCTATCATCTGGTATTGGTGTTGAATATTAACAAAAATATTTAAAATCTCCTAAAGAAGGTTATTTTAAATTATACATGATTATATTAAATTCAATGATAGGAACACAAACCTTATATATTTTATATTCTATTCATTTTTTCTTTTGGTAATATAGGACAGGAAAATAATAAAAAGTACTAAGCCTTAAAATATATAGTTAAATGTGAATTTTGTTTTTTTTTTTTTCAATATATTTTACTGATGACATCAGTTATACTCAGGTTGACGGCCAATGCTATATTTTCAATACTTAAGCCATAAAGCCACAATGTTTATTTACAATCAAGCGATGTTTACCGAGAACTAAAAGCGCTAGTATCAAATGGCACAACAGTAATGTGTAAAAATTAAAGAAAACATACATTTTTTAATTATCCATGAAATTAGAAAAAATTAATAAAACTTATTTGATATATATAATAATAATAATAATTATTATTATTATTATTTAAAACTTTAAAACCTTAGGTCATTTGCTATGTATTAGTTATTTATATTTTGAAGGTTATTAATTTGATATTTTTCCAAGATATAATTTTCATTTTTTCTAAGTATTTTTATATTTTAGTTAAAAATATTTTTTTATAACAATATTGGGAATTTATATTTGTATTCCTATTTATTATTTTGTATTGTTTACATTAAATTTAATAATTATTCTATAAATAATATTTTTTGATTATTGTTATTTCTCAAATGACCAATTTGGTTATTATGTTATCATAATAACTCTAATATATATATAAAACATGTTTTGTACTTATAATATACCTCTCAAAATTAAAATACAGTAATTTACATCACTGGATATAATAAACCGAGTTTATTCAGTTCTAAAGTCAGAATTAGTATAGTTTTATTAAAATCAATAATTTAACTGTAGTAACTCAATTATAAAAAAATAATAGTATTTATAATAGATAATCATTTTTTGTATGTATATTTGGTAAAATTCATGAACAAAGTTTTATTATGAAGATAATGTTATAAATTAACATTCTGTTTTTAATAAAAAAAATTTTACTGTTTACAATATGTAATATTTTTTATAATTCCATAGGTAAACATATGATAAAAAAATTTTAGTGAGTTGGAAAATTTAAGTTAATTTACCAAAAAGCCTTTTATATTATGAAGATAAAAAAAAAATGATTTAGGAGGTCTATACTTATTATTTTAATGTTAGAGAGTTAAACAATAGAGTATAAAATAATTTAATAATTGATCTAGTTTTTATTGTGGAGAAATTTAATTAAGATCCTCTAATTAAAAATTTGTATTCAAATAATTAATGTCTGATTGATTTTTCCGTGTATATCCTTTTTAATGCATAAATAAGTAATTCATATCTCTTCAGTACTAGCATGTTAAAATAGGACCATTAACCACGATTCTTTAGTTAAATACAAACACGGCTATATAAATGATAACATTCCAAGCACCAACCTGAGTTGGTTCCAACTATGGTTCTACTGAAAAGTACCTATGATCTTTTTAACTGATCCCAAAATTAAATTCATTGTTACTGAATAAACAGTCGTCCAATAATTAATTAAGATGAATATCATAACCATTTCATTTAATGTAATAGATTACTAGAGGTTAATAGACCCAAATTGTTTGAAACTCAAATATAAAAAAAAAAATGATGATGTCACTAATGATTAGTTAATATTATATATCGGTTAGTAATATCAGTGGAATACTTGAAAATTTAAAGACATTTGTTGTGATTGAGGCTTTTTTAAATTATGTTAAAAGTAATTCTAAAAACTTCTGGGAACTTATTATCTTTGTATTCAATCTTAAATATTAAAAAAGAAAGTTTTAATACAAATTATGTATCTGTTTACAGACATAAATCCAATATTATTGTAGAGTTAAATTTTCAATAGTTACCGAGAAAATGTGTGTCTTATCCTTAATGAATCACTCTGTATATAGAAATAGATAATAAGTTTTCTTAATAATTTTGGATCTTTCTCCTTTTTCTTCTTACTTTGTCTAAAGATGCTTTTCATATTTTATTTTATTGACTGGTTATATTTATAATAGTATCCAACTTTACCCTTGACATAGACTTTTTACATACTATTGTACTTGTAGAGAATTCAGATAATTTCTTTTATTTATTTTCTTTGTATGCCAAAATTAATATTTTTAAAAAGCTGCCCCAAATGTTTAAAGATTCAATTTTATTTTGTGGTGCATTAATTAAGAAGAAAAACCATCTTGATGATAACATTTTATTAGGTAAAAACTGTAATAATAACAAAACTCTAATTTTTTTTTTTCAAAGAAAGTTATTAAAAATTTTAAATTAAAATTTCCCTTGACTAATATTTATACTCATGAACTTGTTGGTTTTTTGACATAAAATGTAGTCAGTATAGTAATGAGTATCTTTTTTTTTTTAACACTTTATGTTATATTGTGGCTGATAGGAATGAATAAAATTAGAAACATTTTTTTTACTTAAATATATTTTTAAAAGAGTATTTATATCATTTGATTTTTGTTTAAAAAATACATTAGATATTTTAATAAAATCATCTTAAAATGACTTAATTTATATTGTAATCAAATAAATCTACATTTTTAGATTGCAGCAAAAATACAACCATCATCTAAAGCTAGTTCTACTACTGGTTCCATATCTCCAGAAATACATAAAAGACCTTTAGACGATTACAACAATACTTCAGGTAATTAAGTATGTTTATTTAAAATATATATACATATAAAATAACAAAAATTTTATAGAACCGGATAGAAAAAGAATTGCAACATCACCGGTGGCTTTAGCCGCCGCACAAGCAGCAGCCGTGGCCGCCAGAGTGGCGGCAGCAGCAGCTGGCGTCCAAGGCATCGGTGGGCCTGGATCCCAATTTAATAATGTAGTTAATGAAGAAATAAAAGTTCCTGACAAGATGGTTGGTCTCAGTAAGTATTGATAATAATTATTTCCTGTTACTTAATTTTTTTAATTTGATATACCATGTGCGTTAACCATTTGCAAAGTTATAGGTCGCGGTGGAGGACAGATAAGTAGATTACAAGCTGAAACTGGCTGTAAAATACAAATGGCACCAGATAGTCCTGGTATACTAGAAAGATCATGTACACTTACTGGGAATGCTCAAAGCATAACGTAATAAAATCTTTTTAAATTCTGAGTTGAAATATGAAAAAAAAATACATATTTCTTTTTAGTTTGGCTAAAGAAATGATACAAAACATTGTTCAAAATAAAGTATCTGTTGAAGGAACAGGAGGTGCAAAAATTGAAGGACTTAACATATCATCCCCACCTTCTCAACCTGCTTTTTCACAGGCAATTATTTTATCAGTAATTTTTACAAAATTCAGCAATTGTTATTTACTAAATTATTTAGGCTCAAATAATGATCCCTGGAGCAAAAGTTGGTCTCATAATTGGTAAAGGTGGTGAAACTATTAAAATGTTACAAGAAAGTTCAGGAGCTAAAATGATAGTTATACAAGATGGACCTAATAGTCAAGAAGCTGAAAAACCATTGAGGATATCGGGTGAAACTTCCAAAGTAGAGGTAATAACACTATTTTTATTAAAGGGAATAATTTCACAACAACTACTTTTTTTCTTTTGCAGCATGCCAAAAAATTAGTATATGACATGCTAGGTGGACTAAATGACAAAGATGGAATGGTAAGTGTGATTATTCTTAATGATTAACTTAAATTTTTTCTTTTTCATGTACAATAAATTTTACTGTTACAATTAAAAATTCAATAACCTCAGTTGTAAATGTCAAAATTAGAATTAGTAAAGATAAATACTTGATTGTTTTTTAGCTTAACATTTATTGTACAGAATAATAGTCATTCTTATTTCTTAAATATGAAAGAATATTAGATATATATTATTGTTATTTGATAATTCTGAATTTAATCAAAATGTATAAATAAGTTAATAGAGTTAAAAAGTAAAAAAATTTCTGATATTCATTTTAAGTCTGTTTTCTAATTTATGTTTAATAAATCTTATTAAATGCTGGGATTTTAAATTGTATTGCTCAAAGTTTTAAATTAAATTTAATACGTTTTAAATTCTTATTTTATGTGCTAGTAAAGCCTTCATTAGAATTTGTTTCACTTGTTTGATTTCTTAAGCTTTCAACCTATGATATGGAATTCCTATTCGTATACATTTTTAAAAAGACTTACCAATATTATGAATACACAAATACCATATGATTCCTTTAATCTTATTCAGTAATATATTGGATTCACTTAAATTTAGAAGACTAATAAAACTTGATATTAACCTGAATAAAATAAATCCTAAAGAATCTATGATTTGTTAAATGATATATTGACTATGTCAAATAACTATTGCTAGTGTATTAGTTATTTTTTTATTTTTATATAATTTATTCATAATATCTAAATGTAAAAGAAATGTTTCTCAGAATTTTTTTTTCCTTGTGTTCTGAAATTAGTTAATATAGACTCCACTTTTGTAGAATTCTTCACGTTTTATTGATACATTTTTAAGTTCATTGTTATATTCATTTGCGCACATACAGAGATTATTGTGATTGCTAGTTATAAACTACATTTAGGTTATTTTGTTATAACTCAAAAAATGTTACTATATTTTGTATTTTTCATATTTAATTTATATATATATATATATATAATAAATATTTTGATAATGTTATTAAAAATTATTATTATTATTTTTATTTTAATTAATACTTAGCTCTCATATATCACTTTTGAATCAATAATTTTTGCACCCCCGAGATTTTAACTGAATGTGTGCCTATATTGTACTAACCGTAAAACCATCAAATTGGTTTAATATAACTAATTTTTTTGTTAATTTACATAACTCTTTGTCATTTTATAATAAATCATATATATTATAAATTTTCACCAATTAAAAAAAGAAACGTTTAATTTACAATAAATAAGTAATAAATTACTTAGTTACATTGATTAAATTGTTAAAAAAATAATTTAATTTTAGAACCTATATAATAGTTGAAAATATATTTTAATTTAAGGATGTCATTTATGGCGTATCATTAATAATCCACCCATGACTCCACCTTCTAAAAATATATCATATTTTTTATGGTATCTACACAAAAAAATCATCCTGTCTTATGGATAACATTTCTTTATTATAAAATTTCTAACTAAAATAACTAATTATTTATTATTTTTAGTCCAATTTCGATCAAAATGGATCAAACTGGAATGGTTCTAATAGTGATTATGGTAATCACTCTGGATATGGAGGCAAAGTTGAGGTAAATATTTAATAGTTTTGTATTGAATAATTATTATATTTAGTTTTCTTAATCTTATAGGAATTATAATATATTTATTAAATAAATTATAATATATATTAAATATATTAAATATATTTTTTTGAAAAGTGGCAGTTTTACTATATTAAAAAAAAAAAAATTATTAATTTTTATTTTCTGATATTAAAAATAGTGTCTTTTTGTTAAAAATTAAAATTAAAGTTTTATTTTGAAATTTTTAGAGTAGAGAAATACAATTAAAATTTTATAGTATCCTATAATGTTATTTTGTAATGAATATTAAATTTGTGCCATTGATAGTGTTCTCTTATTATAAACAGTCTTTTTATTTAATAATAAAATATTATTTTAAAGGTTGGAGTTCCAAAACAAGTAGTAGGATTAGTCATTGGAAAAGGTGGTGATATGATTAAAAAAATCCAGGCTGAGACTGGTGCTAAAGTTCAATTCATTAATCTTAATGAAGATACACCAGATGATAGAAGGTGTCTAATTACTGGTGCCCCTGACCAAGTGGCTGAAGCTAAACAAAGAATTGATTCATTAGTTGATAGTGCACTGGTACAATTGTTGAATTTATCTTTCTAATCATTTACTAATGTAATTTATATTTTTAGAACCGAGGTGGTAATAGACAAAGTGGTAATTTTAATAGAAATCAAAATTGGGGTAATAGTGGACAAACTCAGCCCTTAAATGAAACAACATTTACAGTTCCAGCCGCAAAATGTGGAGTCATCATTGGTAAAGGTATGAACTAAAATTCAGTAAAACAAATGTTGCATCTAAAATCATTTAAAATAATTTATTTTAATAAATAAAAAAAGAAGGATTAATGGTGTTAATAATTTTGTTTTCTTCTACATAGTAATAACTTATTAAGTGTAAAAATTAAATCTAAAAATATGTTAATGACTGTAGTAACTCAATTNGTAAAAATTAAATCTAAAAATATGTTAATGATAAATGGTATTAAATCATTGGTATACATTTCGTTGAAGTTTTTATTACAATATTTGAAGATAATGCAACAAATTTTGTGGATTTCAAAAAATTAATAAATTAGATACAATATATGTTGTAGTTATTAATGTATTATTATTTATATTTTGTGTCAATTAAAATTTTAAATAGTGATTTATTTTTATTACTACTTTGTAATTTTATCATATATTATTTATTTTTTATAGGTGGTGAAACCATAAAGCAAATCAATATGCAAACTGGTGCACATTGTGAGATTGATAGAAGACAAAATAATGCTGGCACTGAAAAAACATTTGTTATTAGAGGAACGACTGAGCAAATTGAAAATGCTAAACGTATGATAAATGACAAATTAGGTTTTGTAAGTTTCAGTTTTGTTTTATAATTATAATAAGTTGAATATAAATACTTTAAAAAATTAAAAAATTTTATGAATATAATATAAATTTTAAAATCAAAAACTTTTACCTCAAGTATATAAAGCATATTAATTCAATAATTGTTACTAGCAGGATCCTAATGGTGGTTCACAAAATTATGGAGGAATGAACCAGCCATATGGATCTCAAATGAATTGGGGTGCCCAAGATAGTCAAATGAATCCTTATGGTCAATCATGGAATCCTGGAATGCAACAACAATCACAACCTCCTGCTGACCAAAGTAAGCTACTTAGTTTTTATGAAAACTCTTATTTTGCTGTCATTTATACTACAGAACCAATTCAGAGGAGGTGGAAAGTCAAATGTTAAAAATTTAATTTTCCTTGAAAAATAATATAATATAATTACATAAAATTATAATTAATTGAAATAAAAACAATAAACCCAGCACAGTGGGGTGGCGGCACAGTGGGGTCGTGGCATAGTTGGGTCCAGTATAAATGATATCTGACAGTGATTAAAATCACTATCATAAAAAACGCTTCAATGCAAATCTGTAGATAATGTTTAATTTAAAAAAAAAAAATTTGTTAAAATAGCATATTTTTGAATATGGTAGCCATTTGCACATAGAAGATAGGTCGTCGGGACAAATTTTTTTTTTTTATTTTATAGTACATAAAAAAATATTTAATTTGATATATGTTTGAAGGACGCAGTATTTTCGGAACATTTTCAAAAGTTCAGTTGAAAAAGATCTATGTTTTTTACAATATTTTAAGTTTTGAACGCCCCCTATATAAGGGGAAATTGTCCAATTTTAATAAAAAGTATGTCAAATGAAAGATGTACTTATAATGTATTTAGAAAAAAAAAATTTGTGCTGATATATACATTTTTCAAAAAGTTATAGCATTTTTAAGTTGAAAATTTAAAATCGAAAATCGAAAATTTTAACACAAAAATAGTGTTTTTTTAACTACGGCAGCCGTTTAAATGTAGAAAAAAAAGTGTCGGGACAAATTTTTTTTTTTCATTTTGTAGTACATAAAATAAGCTTTAATTTGATATATGTTTAAAGGACGCAGTATTTCCGGAACATTTTCAAAAATTAAGTTGAAAAAGTTATTTTTTGTAAAAAAGTTACTATTTTAAATCCCCCCAGTGAGCAGAATAAGTGTTAGATTTTCAAAAAAAATTATATCAAATGAAAGGGAAATATCTAAGGTTTCAATACAAAAAAATATTATTTTTATTTGTTCATTTTTGAAAAAGTTATGGCAGTTTTAAGTACAAAAATCATCCCGATAAAAGGTGATTTTTATCGCAAACATTACATTTTTTTTTTTAATTTCGACAGCCATTTGCACACATAGAAGATAAGATGTCGGGACAAATTTTTTTTTTTTTCATTTTATAGTACATAAAATAAGCTTTAAATTGATATATGTTTAAAGGACGCAGTATTTCCGGAACATTTTCAAAAATTAAGTTGAAAAAGTTAGTTTTTGTAAAAAAGTAGCTCTTTTAAATCTCCCCCAATGAGCAGGTTAAGTGTTAGATTTTCAAAAAAAAAGATATCAAATAAAAGGGAAATATCTAAGGTTTTAGTATATAAAAAAAATTATGTTGATTTGTTGATTTTTCAAAAAGTTATGGATGGTTTAAGAAAAAAAAGTGAAAAAATTTCGAAAATTAGCGATTTTTAAATTTGTAATTTTTTTGGATATTTCCCCCATTTGCGGGGAACGANAGCGATTTTTATATTTGTAATATTTTTGCATATTCCCCCCATTTGCGGGAAACGAGGGAATTTTTTTCAATTTTTAAGGGTAATGTCTCCAACTAGATACAATTTGTGATCTTTTGACGTATTGTTGAAAGAAATCGGTCCAGTGAGAGCTGAGAAAAAGTGGCAACAGACATAAAAAAAAAAAA